TCTAAGTTCCAAGCACTTGTGCTCAATAAATATGACCTAGAAAATTACCATTCACAATAGAATAGGTAGCTGTGCCACCTCATTTAGTCCTAGAAAAGACGGCACTTGGAATGAGTTGAAGGTGCCACACTTGCAAGCAAACTGGAGCTACTTCCAAAGAGATAGTAACCAGGATGGATGAATAACTCAAAAGAGAACATGAAGAATTGCTACAGGAACTGGGGATAGCTGACTTGAAGAATAGTGCATTCAAGGGAGACCTTGAAACCTATCTTCAAACACCTGATGGTGCACTTCATGGCCTTCTGGAGAGTCCCAAAGTGGTAGAACTAATACTGGAAGATGGAAAATACCAGAATGTAGGCCAGGACGACCACTTGGTGGGGATGTTGTGAGCGATTTCAGCACAAGTGGATGATTGGACTAAATGGCCCTTAATACGACAGTCTGATTGTCATATTTCTAAGACACTTTTCATGAATTGGTTCCTACTAAATTCTGTCTCAGAGTAATCCAGGATCTCCACTATCTTGAGTTGGGCTGGTTTTTAGCCTTAAAACACCACCTTCCCTCCAGCTCCAGTCCAGACTTATTTTTCCAATCTACCTTCTTCCATGAGTTTATTCTTCCTTACTATTTTGTTTAGGAATTTCCGGCCACCTTTAAAATGCTTTCTCAAACTTTCCAAGTAACAAAGTAGAAGGGGTAATTTGTGGACATTTTGGGAAGACGAGCCAGACAGCAAAGCATCATTTCCTGGTTGCTGAAGTAAGAACATAAAGTGGGAATTAGAACTAGAACTCAAGAGCTCCAGAGTTGGAGCTGTGAACCAAGAAGTGGGGTGGGTGTGGGACCTCAGATGAGGCTATTTCTGGGGATTTAGCGTATTGTGTAGAAAGTAGAGACAAAAGGCCCCTGGCCTTGACCCTTTTCGCCTACTACAAGTACTCAGTAGTTATTCGTTCAACGGATGACTTCCCCTGTTTTCTGGAAGCAAAACGAGTCCTGGACATGTTGCTCAGCACCTCCATCCTGATTGCGACAGGAAAACTGCCTGGGGAAACCAGAGAGGTTGTCTGCCTTCTGCTCGACCTGAGCCAGCCCGCTCCCCTCCCATGTGACCCCAGGGAACCTTTCTTCTTCTTTCTTTTTTTCCTTTCCTTTTTTTTTTTTTTACAGCCGCGCGTGGGGGAAAACTGGCTTTATGTCCGTTGCCAGGGACGCAACAGCCAGCTCGGCTGGCTGGGGGTGAAAGAGGACGCTGGGGGGAGGGGTCCATAGCTTCTGACTGGCGGGGGCGCGAAGGCTCATTTGCATAACATTTTCTGACGGTTTTTGATTGGCTGATGTCAGAGGGGCGGCCGTGGGGTGATTCCAAGGGCCCGGAGCTCTGGCCTACGGATCTTTCGTTCTGGAGTTACCCCGGTGGGTGTGAATTGTTGCGCGGGTCCGGGGGAGCTGGGAGGTCCGGTTTGGGAAGTTTTGCAGGCAGGTGCATGAACGTGCAAGAACAGCGGCGTAGTCAAGAAACTGGGGGATTGCGGGTGACCTCAAGACCAGACAGAAGAAAGGCGACAGATCAGGGGAGGAGTGGAGGCCAAAAGGAAGGAGTTAGGGGCTTTCTCCCAAGCTGGGCTTTTTTGCTGGGTGGGATCCCTTTGCTAGATCACTTGGATTTTCCTTTTCCGTGAGTTATCACTCTCTGTTGGAATTGGGTGAAGAGAAAAGGAGGCAGGATTCCAGCATTAAATCACTCAAATCTGAATAACGAGTTTTCATCCAGTGCATATGTACGTAAAATATCAAGAGGGTCTGGGAAGAGGGACAAAATGTTTTAATTTATGAGAAGAGCAGCTACTGAAAACAGGATATCGTTTTTTCGAGTTTTCTCCTTAAAATACTGTTTGAATCTCATTGACCAGGAGAACTGAAAAAGAGACTGGACCATTTTACACTGGTGAAGGGTCTGTGGTTCATCTTAGCCCATTTCCACATTTTAAGGTTTCTGACTTCACATAAACACTGCTAGAGTATGATGAGGTCCTATACTAACTACAATTGATCTTCGTAAAATACAATTTGCATAATGATTTTACATCCATTATCTTATTTAGCTTTAACAGAAATCCTTGGCACAGCCCATGGGAGAAGCTCCATTTTATTGACAAGGAAACTAAGGCTGGAAAAGTTTCTAAATCTTTATGTGTGGAAAGAGGAGGGTGAGGTTATCTTAATGCTTCAAACTCATTTAACATGTTATTTTTTCTTTTCAATTTTCTTTTCATTGATCCTCCCCAAAACCCTGATAGGTAAGTTGAGCAGGTAACATTATCCTACTTTTACAGATAAGGAAAACATGGGCTATGATTTAGAGCTAATAAGTCCTGGGTCGGGGGGGGGGTCCCCAGACTGGGCTCTGTCTCTAGGGGTTCTGTTTCAACCTGTCAGTCCTTGTTGCACCAAGTCAGCTTTTCACTCAAAAGATAGTTAGGAAGATGGTTTGCCATGGGAAATATTTAAGGATAGGTCGTTAAGGTGAAAGAACGAGTCAGACAAAGAAACCTCTCTATTATGTGCTTCTCCCCTCTTTTGGTACGTTTCATTTTGCGGGAAACACTATATTAACGACGCTCCTGAAGTATTTTAGAGAAAAGGGATTTAAAATGAGAAGCTTAGGCCGAACCCTGGCTCACTCAGGAGAGTGCGGCACTGGGAGCGCCGAGGCTGCAGGTTCGGATCCTATATAGGGATGGCCGGTGCGCTCACTGGCTGAGCGCGGTGCGGACGACACCAAGCCAAGGGTTCCGATCCCCTTACCGGTCACACACACACAAAAAATAAATAAAAAAAGAGAAGCTTGAGTCTCACTGGACATAATTATCTTTAGGATTATCGGAGGAGGCTGGTGGATGGGGGACATGGCAAGAGAAGTGAGATGATGGGAAGACAACAACGGGCTGTGGTTTGGAAGTCCCAAAGCGAAATTTAAGGTGCAAGACTCTCAATAGTTAAATCCAGTAGCTTAGGCCCTATTAAATGACCTTGTGCTTTAAGAACTGTCTTTTGAAAGGAACACTTCACGTACACCCTCAAAAATAATATTGGACACATCCCCACTATTTCTATTAAATGATGAGAGACACCCAACACCAGACCTAACTACTGTCACCCTCTCCCCACGTTTTGGCAGCCCAAAGGCCACACAGCCCTGGTTCTCCAGCATCACTGAGTAGTGGACTTGGACAAAAGTCAGGAACTTGACTACTTCTCCCCATGCCAAGTTCTGATCTCTCAACAAAATCTGCAGATCCGATGGTAGGCCGCTCATTAAACCTGGCAGCAGTTCTCATAGGAAAAATTGGAAAAGACCCTGCTGGGAGGGAGGCAAAAGCCTCTGATGCTCGCCTACCCCAGAAGCTGGCCAAGGCCAGGGCCACAGCGGGGGCACCGCACGTCCACGTGCACCCTGCATTCCCCGCCACCCTCTTACATAAGAGTCCCGGGATGGAGTTGCGGCTGCTGCCGGTCCCTCTTCCCCGACAGCTAATAATAAACCGGAGCTGTAGTTTCTGGGCCACGGCCACGCTAGATTCGGGGTTAAGGGGTTCACTTTGCAACCAGGGCACGTGCATTACGGTCATCCCAACCGACAAGCACGCGCAAGGCCCGCCCAGCCCCCGCACGCCTGCCCGCCCTCCGGCCGGCCGGGATGCGGGCGCCTTCTACACCCGCGCAGTGTCCTGCCC